TTTTTTTTTTTTTTTTGTTGTTGTTGTTGCTGGCTCAGCCTGCCCCGAGGGCAGGGCTGGCACAGCATGTGGTGCCAGGGATCAAACAGTACCAAGGTCCCTGAAGTTGCCTAAATTTGCCTAAGCAGGCGCTTTAGACCACTGAGCTCTCTCACTAGCCCCAACAAATCAATATTTTAAATTCCAGGGATGCGTAGTCTTTGACATGGTGATTGTCCTTTTGAGGCTGAGTCCAGTAGTGACTTTTCTATGCTTTTGCTCCCCACAGAGAGGACTGTTGAATCAGTTGCATTTACATGATTATTGTTATTTAAAACTAAAACAGCAGTTGTATTTTCAAAGATAAATCTGGGGATCCCTATTAGTGAAATACAGTCAAATCTGAGATATATATATATATATAGGATGAGATAGTATAATTTAGGATTTGAAGATTTAATAACCAGCGCTACCCAGGAAAAGTGACTTGAAACATAGTACAAGTAAGGCACTCTGTTTGCTTTTGCCACTTTCAAAACTTGAAATTCTCAGGTTATTCACCAAATTATTGTACAAGTTAGCAAATAGAATCCTTAGATTAAAACAACAGATGGGAGATTTGTGGAGTGTGTCTAATGTCATAGACCCCTTGCTCTGCATTTGATTATTTATTTTTGTTCCGTAGTTAACCTTCTCTCCCCAAATTTGCTATTAAAATCAGATTCCCAAATTACATTTCTAGTAGTTGGATGTATTTTTGGAGGAATAGTTTGTGATTACAATGCAGGTACCTTCATTACCATTACTTATACACTGGGAATAAAACCCTTTTATTAGAATTACTAACATATTATTAAAGCACCTACAAGCAATTAAAGTGGGGTGCAAGCAGGTGCAGGGGTTCGATTCCCAGGCCTGCTGTGCCAGCCCCGCCCCTGGGGTGCACTGAGATGGCAATTGAGACTGGGTGTGGTGGTGCACACCGGTAATCCCAGCTCTTGAGAAGCTGTAAACAGGTGGATCACTATGAGTCCAACAGTAGTTAGACCCTGAATATCCTGTAGACCCTTCCCTAAAATAAAAAAAAAAAATTTAAAAAAAGAATTACAGACATGTTTATAGGGACAATATTTCTTAAAGGCTGGAATGATACAAGTAAGCCTAAGAAACTGGTCGGCTAGACTCTGGAGTGATGGCAATAATCTCTGTGAACATTCCAGAAGGCTGAGCTGCACCTGGCTCCCTTCTAACCCAAGAGACAGGAATGCAGAGTTACCATTTGCAGACTTCCACCATCTGGTCTGGTCCGTAGAGACAGATCAGCCGTGACCTAAACCCATTTCAGAAGCAAAGTTGGGGCCCCAGCTGTATAAATTTTAACATGAAGTTTAATGTTTTCCTCTTTTTAAAGCATATTTGTAAATTTAAAGCCAAACAAAGGTGATTTGACTTTCTCAAGTATGATGTTGAGTTGACACTGTACCCTTAGCACTCTTCATTCCCCTTCCCTTTCCTAAGGCAATAGCTGGGGTTTTTCCTTCAAAAATTAAATGAAAAACTTCACACCATGGATTTTGCTTTTATAAGACACCTATTTACCATTTTGTTTAAATGTAAATGCTCCCTTATGCTTTCAAAATAAATTTCCTTTTGTAAAACAAAACAAAAAACAAACAACAACAACAAAAAAAAAAACAGTGGGAGATCTACAAAGTTGTCTGGCAAAGATGTGGATATAAAATCCATAGAATGAAAACTTGGAAACAACCACCCAATATTTCAGGATTCATTTCCTAGGTTGCAAATACTCTTTATGCAAGTTCAAAATATACTAGTACTCATGAATCTCCAAGACATTTCAAATCTAATCCAATCATCACATCAGCCTGAAAGTCCACATCATGACCCACATCAGCTATAGCCATATCTCCTCTTAACCCAGAGCTTGTAAAATAACAAAGCAACTTATCACACATCTAATCTATAATGATGGAAAAAGTAAGAAAATTATAATGAATCCATCACTCAGAAGAAAAAATAAAAAGCATGTGGCAATCATTGAGTCCCATCCCCCCCCAAAAAAAAAAAAGAAATCTGAATTTGTGTGTGCATACAGTGCTGAGAATTAAACCCAGGACCTTTCCTCTGAGGCAATGACCCACATCATGACCCACAACAGCAATACCCCTGTCTCCTTTCATTGTTTTTGAGACACAATCTCACTCACAACCTGGGTTGGCCTCACACTTGCAATCGTCCTGCCTCAGGTTTCCAAACAGCCAGAAATACAGGCATGCACCATAACATCCAGCTAAAATTTTATTGTGTAAATATTTAAGATATTATCTATCCTGGTAATTAAGAAATGCTTCTTGATTAGAACCCAATTATGTCCCTTTTAGAGCTTCCTGTGTTTGCTTTGTAGATATATTTGCACTTACTGGAATGAAACGGGCCAATGATTCTCCAACTTCTAAGAAGTAGGAGTCTCAAGATAGTTCTTTTTTTCTGCATATACACTGCCTTTGATGTATCATTCAAATATTAACTTTAAATGTGATTCTTCTAACTAGATTAAAACCAAGAAAAAATATCTGAAGACAAAGAAAGAGAGGAATTCTACCATAGCAAGCCATCAAAATGCCAAAGCAGAGGTAAATCTTTATTAATCTGGTCGTTGAGACTTTGAAAAAAAATAAATGCAAAAGCACGGCCAATGGCCTGGCACAATAGTACGTGTCTCTGGGAAGCGGAGCCAGAAGGATCACACATAAGCTCAAGCCAAGGCTGGGTACCTTAGTACCTTGGCAAGACACTGCCTCAAATTTTTTTTTTGCTTCAATAAATTCAGATTTATTTATTAGCTAACTTCCACATGCATCATTGAAAATCAAATGTCATTCAAAAACCACTAAGGTTACAAGTTGTGTGTTATACACAATCTGTACTTAAAGCTTACTGCTTTATGACCAGGTTTCAGCTTATTTATAGTCAGCCCCCCGAACCCATGGATTCAACCAATCACAGGTCTAAAATATTTGAAAAAAATAGAGCCTGTGCTGAACATGACAAATACAACTTGAAGAATGATTTCTTTTTCTTGTTATTATTCCTCAAACAATACAGTATAATAACAGTTTGCATACCTAAAGTGTATATTGTATCAGTTATTACAAGCAATTTAGCAGTGGCTTGGAGTATGGGGAGGGTATAATTTTAAAAAATAAATAAGAATAAAAAGGGCTAGGAATGTAGCTCAGTGTGAAAGCCTTGGGTTCAATCCTCAGCACCATGAAAAACAACAGAAAACAATGGTAAGAAATTTCATCTTATATTTTAATTTTTTTCCAGGAAAACTTGATGATGAAACTTTTGCTCTTATTATTTACTAGTTATAAAAGATCCTTAACAGATGAGAAGCAGACCTTATTAAGGTGTTAGATTTAGATGTCATTTCTAGCCAGGTGTGGTGGCACACACCTGTAATTCCAGCACTCGGGTGACTCCTCCTTCCAGCAAGAGGATTGTGGTGAGTTTGAGACCAGCCTGGGCTCTGAAGTGAGCTCAAGGCAGTCTGAGCTGCATCGCGAGACCCTGTTTCAAAAAAGAAAAAAAAAATATTTCTACTTACCTTTTCTAATAATAATGAGGAAGTTTGCAAGTACATCCATGAGAGCAAGATGAAAGAAATTAAAACTAAGAAAAAATAAATGGGGTTACAGAGAATAAAAATAAATGGTACTGAGAGACTGACTTCTATATAACTGCAGGAGGAGCTCCACAGATCCATTTACCAGAAAAACTGCTGAATGCAAAGATACGAGGGAAGGAAGGAAGGAAAGGAAGGAAAGGAAGCAAGGGAGGGAGTCATTTGGTCTCTGCAAGTGAAAAAAAAATATTCAAAAAAATCTAATCAAATTCATTAGAAAGAACAGGACCTTGCTCCACCAGCTCCAGCTGTTCTTCTCTCCCCACCTCCCAGCTCACTGGGACACAAATTTCACTCCAGACCTGAGCAGCAGAGAAAGCTAATGGCTGAGCTCTCCTGGCCACCAGAGGGCTGACCCCCAGCAGCAGGACAACAGTATTTCATGTTCTCCTGCAGTGCCTGTGCCTGAAGCTGAGTTCCAGGGGTGGAAGGTCCCCTTTCCTTCCCAGACTCCCTCTTGGGATGGATGCAGGTTCTCCCTTGGGTGCTACGCTGTGGAGACTACTTGGACCCTGGTGTCCCTGGCCTTGCCTTGTGAGTGGTGGTTCCACACTGGAGGAGGAAGTGGAAAAGACCTGAGGCTACTGCGCTGCCCTCACCTGCAGCTGGCCTCCTAAAGCACTGTATCACCAGAAGAGTGCATTTTTGGCTCCATCTCTGGCTCCAGACCCAAGGTTTAGAAATTTTGTCTTGAGAGAGAACCGAGCCATAAAACAGATAGCTTTCCTATCTCTTCCCCTTTGTAATGCAACAGGAGAAGTTTAAGCTAAAACGCATTCTCAAATACAGCAGGTATGGTACAAGGCGACTGGGAGGAAACTGGTAGATTCACTGGAGATAATGACTAACCTGTATACAGGTTACCCAAGAGAACTCAGGAAAGAGAGATCTGGGAGGAGCACCCTTGACTCAGACCAAGGTTAAGGCACTGGCCTCTAGACCTCTCCAGTAGATGAACTCATGATCGATTTATAACACCCAGCTGAACCGAATCGGCAAGGTTCCAGGGTGGAAGCCCACCTGTGAGTTGTTACCAACAGCATAAAAAGGAGAACCGGGGAGGAAGCTGGTGTGTTATTGATTTTCCCAGAGAAGCTTGTTGCTCTGGTTTTCCTGATATGAGCTTGACTATTCGCATGGTCAGAGGAGCTCCAGTCCTGGTTGTTGCTGAGGATGGCTACAGGTCTTTGCAAGGGAGCCCTGGTCCTTATCTTAAGCATCGCTTCCTGGCTCCAATGCAGATCCCACAGACTTTCCAGCTTCCACTGCTGATGTTTGGGCCTTCCCAGTGCAGGTCCTTGATACAGACTTGTAGGAGGCGTTGTCATGGGCTCTGGCCTTCAGCTGGACTCCTGGGACGACTTTGCCATGGGATCCAGGCCCTCAGCTGGATTCTTTAGGTCTCTAATGCATGCACAGATTGTGTGAACTCTTCTGTATTTGACTTTTTGGGGGAGTGTTGTAAAGTAGCCCTACAAATTATGTATCCTACAGCTGGCCAAATAGCTCAGCGGGTTAAAGCACCTGTTTAGGCAGGTTCAGTCCCCTGGCCTGGCGTGCCACCCCCCCACCCAATGGCACGCTGAGATAGCAATTGAGACTGGGTGTGGTGGCGCTAATCCCAGCACTTGCGAGGCTATAAACAGGAGGATCACTATTAGTCCAATCTATGCAGTGAGACCCTGTACACCCTGTCCTAAATACAAAAAAAAAAAAAATGTGTCCTGTACTAAATACTTTCCCTTGTAAACTCTGACTACAACACTACGCTTCCAAAGGAGACCAACTTTGAGTGGCGCAGTCTGAGCAGCTAGGCACGCTCTGGGACTGTGCTGAAGGTAATGGGTCAGATCATAGTGGAGTGTGACCATCTTCAGAGCCCTGTCACAGCACCTGCCATTGCAGGATGAACATGAGCACATGCAAGTCTGAGCTCCGGAGGACAGTGTTAGAGTTAGCACTGCAGAGGACAGATGGATCTCACTGAAATAACCTAACCAGTCTCTACACAAACAAGCAAGTGCCAATGATGAGCCTTGGAAACAGTGGGGGAAGGAAAACCAGTCCCCAGAATTGATTACATCATCTACTTGAGAAATGAGCCTGAAGAACACAAAGGAAGTGCAGTCGAAGTGGTAGTCCTTGTTAGCAGGACTGCAACAGTCCATCCTTGATCCACCAAGCAATCCCTAAGCACCTGTTCCTGGCAGAGAACTTTCAACCCCTCCTCCCCTCCTTATTTGTAAACACCACTGCACTCGGACCAGCCATCCCCTCCTTATTTACAGAAGCTTTGTTTCCATTTTTTTTTCTTTCTATTCTCTTTTTTCCCTCTTCCTTCCTTCACCCTCCACACCCCTACTTTCCCTTCCCATTTGAAGATTCTCTTCTACTTGACAATACCTGCTATACATTTCCCATCATGCCACAAATGATATAGGTAATATACTCTATTGTTATGTCTATGTTCATAATATAGCATTTTTAACTTCTCATTTTTTCTATTCTGTCAGGTTTTTGATAGAGAACATCTACTGCAGACGCACAGAGAATCAAATTCTGATGCAAAAGGTAGTGTTTTGCTTCTCTCTTTTCGTAAAGAGTTAATTCACTTACTGGGGAATGCTGTTCTTCCGCCTCACCTTGGAGATCACCACTGAGTGCTGTGCTAAGGACGTAGAGAAGGCTGTTAGGCCACCTCTCTGCAGCACTCTCGTAGAGAAGGCTGTTAGGCCACCTCTCTGCAGCACTCTCGTAAGCAGGGAGGAGAAGCCAGTGGACAAGCTCTGTGCTACAGGTGCAACCCCAGGGCTCAGCACAGGGAGCAGAGAGAAGGAGATTATCACTTACGTCACAGGACAGAGGGGTCCACATGGTTGAGAGATTCCCCCGGCTTTTCCCCAAAGAGAATGTAAGGATTTAATGCTTTAAAAACCATTTTGTTCCTTTCATTTCATAGAAGATAATCTCAGGGAGAAAATTATAGGTCACCCACAGCTTCTCTTGCAAACTGCTAAGTGTGAAGTGACTCAAGCTGACTCGCTAGCATCTTTGTGGGGTGTTTTTGTCATTTTTAATAAAGATCCTTTAAAAAAATTTAATATTTAAATTTTATCCAAAATAATTACTTAATGTTATATATATATTTGTGTTGGTTCATTTCAAATTCAAACTACACACTGCCTCCAAGGATTTGAGATAACCTAAATAAAAGTATACACATGCATGCACATAAATCCACTCTGGCCTGTGGAGGCCCTGCTAGAGTTTGGGGTAACCACAGGCCTAGGTGGATAACTGGAGAATTCCAAGAGCTCATCGGCAACTGAATGTCCTTGTGAGTGCCTTTCCTTGGTGTCCTCTGTTTTGAAGGGGAGTGAAACAGGTTATGAAAGCTTCGGTCCAGCCAGTTTGTCCTGCCAGTGTGCACACAGCACCCCCACCGTGATTACCTCAGCTCTTTGCAGAGCTGAGCAGGACTGCACCTAAGTTTTAGGAGACAGATACAAAATGAAGGCTGAGATTTGTTCTGCTCCGAGTTACCTACTGGGCCTCTGTGGGCCCAACTGAAAATTACTGTTTTTTAAGAAAAAAATTTTTCAAGTTCTTGACTGCCTCAGAAGGAAACAGAAGTCATGCTTTGAGTGAATAACAGGTTAAGTGCCCAGGGATTTGTCTTCTGTCGCTGTGGTGGTCACTGATTATGCCAAATAGAATGATCCAGAGGTTTTTCAGAAAAGGTGACTGTTAACATTTCAGGAGCCAAATAGCACTTTCCTTAGCAAATTCTCTACCTGCTAACATAAAAGAGTAACCCTGGCATGGTGGTGCATATGTGTAATCCCAGCACTGGGAGACTGAGGAAGGAGGGTCCCCAAGAGTTCCAGGTCAGCCTGGGCTACATAATGAGTTTGAGGCTATCCTAGACTACATGACAAGACACTGTCTCAAAGAAAAACAAACAAATAAATAAAAGAGTAATTAAGACAAAAAAGCAAGCCAAAATAAAAAAAACCTTAATCCAGCAATATAGAAGATTGTAAATAATATTGTTACAGAAAACAGACCAAACATGGGAAGAAACGACACTGAGAAAGTTTAGGAGGCAGTTTATTACACCAGTGGGCCTGACCAGAATCTGTCCCAAAGAATCAGTGCCCCTTCACCCATGCAGGGGGTGGGGCTAGGATAGGAGGTGGAACTTTAATAGGGAGAGCAAGCAGGGAGGTACAAAGGCAGATTTGGAACCTTATGATTGGAGGGTTAGTAACATCATGAGTTACTAAGGAATTTAAATGACTTGTTACATAGCAAGGCCATCAGTTAAACAAGCATGGGTTACATAAAGGAAGAAATGTGCAGTTAGCAGGCTTTGCCAAACATGTCTGTCTGGTTTTGGCAAGCATTCTTGACAGGCTTTATTCAAAATTTCAATTCTCCCTTCAATATGACCAAGTCTGTTTTTCCAAGAAATGCAAATTGGTTTAAAATTTTTAAATTTAACAACATAATATATTCATAGAATAAAGAAGGAAAAAGACATATAATCATCCCAATAGATGGGGGAAAGCATTTAACAAACTCTAATGTATTTTTTTTGACTATTGTTAAAAGTGCTGGACATGGGGTACGTGCCTGTAATCCCAGCCCTTGGAGGCTGAGGCAGGAGGGTCAAGAGGTTGAGGTCAGGCTGGGCTGCATAGCATGTGCGTGGCCAGGTTAGGCTATATAGTAACAGCCTGTCTCTAAGGGAAAAAAGTAATAAGTGGATTATTTGGAAGGGGAGTTATAGTTTAATAAATAGTTGATGTTAACAATAAATATTCTGAATATAAAATTAAGAAAAGCTCATTTACAATAGCACTGAAGAGAGTATTTACTTGGGAAAATTTTTACAGAATTGACTGTACACCAAAAACTACAAAACACAGTTAAATTGCTAAACCAAAACCCTACAGCACAAGAAATCTCTGAAATAAAAGTTTATTGAATCATTACAGAACCAAAGGCTATTGTTATTACTGATCTTACCACTTTAACCAAGGTGACATAGTTGTTATGATCAATGTAGGCTGCTAAGTAGACCATGTGAGGTCATAAACAATACTGCAGTCCAGTGCCAAAGAACTGGGCACTAGGCCAAACAGACAGCAACCTGCCATCCATGATAAATTAAGGAGGCGGGATCCTGGGACAGACCCAAAAGCCACCTGCGCCTAGAAGACATCTCTGAAAGGTAGTATTTCCTAAGGAGGTACTGGTACTAGTAATAAAGCTACCTACCACAAGCAATTTACAAGTCTCAATACAGAAAACAATTAAGCAAAAAAAAGAGGCAAAAACATGGATGCAAAACACAAGCCATAACCTACAACTCACCCAGGGCAAATCAGGGGGCACTGAGGTGGCAAAAATCAAAGCCATCCAGCTGAATTTTATGAAATGGTAAACAGTAGAAATAACAAAACAGATCACTAAGTCTGCTGACAAAACAAAACAGTTAAAGAGATGATGAAAACAATAAAGAAAATGACTAGTGAGTCTAGAGTAGACCCAAATTTAAAAAAAAATAAATAAATAGAGGAGCTTAGAAAAGATATGAAATCATGAAGGCCCAACATAGAAAAGACCTAGAATCTATAAAACAGACTCAAACAAGACAAGCATGTCCACTATCACCGTTCCTATTGAATACAGTTCTGGAAGCATTAACCAGAACAATTAGACAAGAGAAATAAAGGGATGCAGACAGGAAAGGAAAAGGTTAACCACTTACATTTCAATTATTTGAATACAAGGTGACCAAAAATTGCATATTTTTTAAAGGTAATATAACAGGAAATATAAAACCACAGTTTTAGCAAATGTATTCAATTCTAGAACTAACAGTTGAAAGGACACCTGCCCAAGTGGTGCTTGGGAGAGTAAACCAATGTACTGCCTGAGTGAAATGAATCAAAGATCTAAACATTAAACTAGAAGAGGGCTAGCCAGATAGCTCAGTGGATTAAAGTGCCTGCTTAGACAGATGCAGTGGCTGGGGTTCGATTCCCAGTGTGCCATGCCAGCCCCCTACCCCCGGGCGCACTGAGACAGCGATTGAGACCAGGTCTGGTGGTATGTTCCTGTAATTCCAGCACTTGGGAGGCTGAAAACAAGAGAATCACTACGAGTCCAATCTGTGTAGTGAGACCCTGTAGACCCTGTACTGTACTAAATACAAAAAATAAATAAATAAACTAGAAACACTAGATCTTCTGGAAGATACAATAGGTAAATCTCTAAAAGACATAGGTATAGCCAAAGGCTTCATGAACAAAACTCCAATGGCTCAGAAAATATTACAATGAATCAACAATTTCATGGGATCATGTGAGATTAAAAAGCTTTTTCACAGCAAAAGAAACCACCAACAGAATGAAGAGTCAACCCACAGAATAGGAAAAAAATTTAACAGTCCTTAAAGAACTAATCTTTAGAATATAAAGAACTGGGAAAAAAAAAAAGACTCCCCAAACATAAAAACCCAATCTGAAAATAGACATCTGAAATGAATAGACATTTCTTGGATGAAGAAGTACAAACAGTAAATAAATATGTGAAAAAATTGGACTTCAATGGTCATTTAGCAGATGCGAATGAAAACCCTGAGATTCCACCTCACTCCAGAAAGAATGGATACTATCAAGAAATCAACCAATAACAAATGCTAGGAAGGCAGTGGGGGAAAAGAAATCCTTCTCCATTGTTGGTAGGAGTAAACTGGTACATTCGCTATGGAAATCAGTACGGAGTTTCCTCAAAAAACTAAATTTAATTTTTTTTCCCCCTGCATAACCAGGGATTGAACTCAGGTCCTTGTGATTGCCAGGGAAGTACTTATTCTACTGAGCCATTTCCCTGGCCCCTGAAAAACTAAATTTAGAGGCTCCAATTAATCTAGCTGTTACCCTCCTAGTTATTTTCCCAAAAGAGTTATATCATACTGCAGTGATATATGTGCATCCGGCTTCCTAGCAGCATAGTTCGTAATCACTAAATCTTATAAACAGCCCACATGCCCATTAACAAATGAATGGATAACAAAAATGACGTATTTATACACATGGAGTACTACTCTGCCATAAAGAAGGTGTCTTGGTTACTTATCTCATTGCTGAGACCAAAAAAAAACAAAACAAAACAAAAAAAAAACATTCAAATATAGGGGAGGAAAGATTTATTTTATTGTATTTATTTTGTGTGTGTGTGTGTGTGTGTGTGTGTGCGTGTGTGTATTCGGGACAGGGTCTTACTACCCAGCTTGGACTTGTAGTGATCCTCCTGTCTTCAGACTCCCTAGCACTGGAATTACAGGCTTGCGCCACCACACCCAGTCTCAGTGGCTGGCTCAGCACACCCATACGCAGGGCCAGTGCAGCATGTGGTACAGGGGATCAAACCCCAGTCCCTGCACTTGCCTAAGAGGCGCTGAGCTTTGTCACCAGTCTGAAAGGTTTATTTTGGCTCACAGTTTGTAGAGGTTTCAGTCCATAATCAGATGGCCCCAAGGCAGGGAGGCATGGTAGCGG